TCTCCATGTTGTCCACATCCCTCCTGAAATGGGGCGCACAGAACTGGACACAATACTCCAGCTGCGGCCTGACCAGCGTCGCATAGAGGGGGAGGATCACCTCCCTGGCTCTACTCGAGATGCACCTGTGGATGCACGACAAGGTCCGGTTAGCCCCGCCAACCATGACCTCGCATTGTCGGCCCATGTTCATCTTGGAGTCAATAATGACACCAAGATCCCTTTCCGCCTCCGTGCTCTCAAGTAGGGAGTTCCCCATCGTATAAGTGTGCTGCTGGTTCCTACTACCCAAGTGCAGCACCCTGCACTTGTCCGTATTGAAACACATCCTGTTCCTGTTTGCCCACCCCTGTAACCTATCCAGATCCTTCTGCAATCTCTCTCTCCCTGCTAGCGTGCTCACCTTCCCCCAAATTTTGGTGTCATCAGCGAATTTAAACAGGTTGCTTTCCACCCCAGCATCAAGATCGCTGATGAAGAAATTGAACCGCGCAGGCCCCAGGACCGAGCCCTGGGGGACTCCACTACCCACCTCCCCCCAAGTCGAGTATGATCCATCCACCACCACCCTCTGAGTGCGACCCTTCAGCCAATCTGCAATCCATCTGACTGTGTAGGCATCTATGCCACAGTCGCCTAGTTTATTAATTAGGATGGGGTGAGAGACGGTGTCAAAGGCCTTACTGAAGTCCAGAAAGACTACATCCACCGCGACACCTGCGTCCATGGCCTTTGTGACCTGATCATAAAAGGCAATCAGGTTGGTCTGACATGATCTCCCCCTAATAAATCCATGCTGATTGCCCCTGAGCATCATTTCTGATGCCGACTTAGATTGTGTCACAGGTGTGCTGGCTGATAAAATCTAGATTTGGGAACAAACTCCAGTCTTTACTCCTTGTATATGTAGGAACAAGAGTGTAGGGACTCCAGAAGTGGGAAGGAGAACTGATTTTTTTTTCTCCCCCCGCCACAAAATGCACATACAAGCCATGGCTACAAGCAAAACACAGTAAATTAATGAACGCTTTTGTTCTGTCCAAGTATGATGCCCAGATGATGTATTTCCAATATAGCCATAGTGTAAAATGTCTATCTGTGTGTTCCACAGCAGCTACCCTTCTGCAGTTTGCAGTAAGACTTTGTACCACAGTATATACTCTTGCACATAAAAAACACCAAGGGTTTCTCAAACCATTCAATGGCAATTAAGACTAGTAGAATTCTTTAGCTGTGGGAAACTAGGTCAGCCTACAGGTGAATAGTTAGCACTGCTGGCACAAAGGCGATTTTGTTAATCAAATAAATCTACTTCTTCCCTTTAACCCCACCAACATTGTCCATGTTTTGTTACTTGCAGTAGGTGGGCCATGGCTGCCACTGCTATGTTTTAGGGTAGGTAAGAGCCAGGATCAGAGAGAAGCAGTACATATGGTTGTAATACAAGTAAGTGATGAAGCAATGCATGTACTAGTGCACATAGACCTATAGAATAAAACACCTATAAAATGAACTAGTTGGCTCCTAGAATAGACATCAGAGCTTCCTGGCATTTGTCACTCCATTTTTTCTTCTGACTTAAAGGAAACACATTCAGAGCTCTGCTGGTCAATAAAGTACCTGTAGCTGTTATTGGTACTGATTGGGCACATCTACACACGCACTTTACTGCACAGTAGACTATGAAGTAAAACGTCACCATCTACATGTTTGCATCAATTAGGCCGATATAGACTAATTTACTGTGCTGTCGGATAGTCCTGTCAGACACAAGTACTATCCAACGGTGGAGTGAATTACTGCACTTAAACGCATGTGTAGATGATGACATCCAGATTCCGGCTCAGATTGTACCAGAATTTATTCAGTCACATTAATTGCACATGTAGATGCACCCATTTATGTGCTTCTGTGTTGTACACCCTCTTAACCTGAAACTCCAACCACCCTCAAAATCAAATTAATCTTCATCTGAGACACTTAGGAAGTTCAGTAGGCACAAATCCCCTGAAAAAAGAAGGGAAAACCGTGGGAACAATATTTGTGTTCAGCAAAAAAAAAACAAAAACAAAAAACTCCAAACCCAAGCCATTTCTCCCCATTTTTCCATTACCTAGTGTCCAAGGTATTGCTGCTTTGTTTATACTAGTCTTATCAAAACAGCATGCAAGCCTAAGACAGCCACCAGCCAGTTTATCAAAAGACTGTCAAATTGCTGCTACATCACGCTATTGTAATTCACAGAATATGATAGTCATTAAAATTCAGGACCCTCTTTATGGAACGAGTAAGATAATGATAACACAAGCTGTATTTGTAACTCAAATAATAGGAAGTACTGGAAATGGCACAAAACCCAAGCATTTCTTAAAACTATCTCAAAAAAATGTTACCCTGCAGTAACTAAATAGCATGATCAGTTACTTGCCTTCCACAATATGAATGTACATGTGCAGGCAGCACAGTCCCAATTGCAGCCAAAAAGCTGACATGAGTTAATGTCCTAATGTTCAATCTATCATTCACAGAGCAGAACTCTGTGCACTAAAACCACCTTTCACCATTAAGGAAAGCAATGGCAAATTGGCTGATTAGCATAAAATGTATGACTGTGTTGTCTCTTAAGAGCCATTATTACGCTCTCCAAATATAGTTGTTTCAGTTGTTAAATGTATGAATTCTTCTGATATTTTTTGTATAAATCTTGGGACCTCCATTACACATGCTATGATTCCCAGTAGATAGCAAAGCCCTGAGCAAACATAAAATGAACTTTTAAAGAAATATATGAATCTGGGGGGAAAAAAAAAAAAGGAAGCAGCTGAATTAGTTTTGGCAACAGCCTCAAATAAATTCAGATTGGGAAATTTACCGTACTTAATCCAGTGAGACTCTTGCTATCCCTTAATATAAACCACATAAAGCAAATAATAAATTAGCCTCTTCTATCCTTTAGTTGTAAAAATATATAGTGTAGCACTTTTGCCACAGCAGTGATAAAGGAAGTTGAATATCAGTGATTAGAAGATCACTCTGGTTATGGAAAAACTGCCACTTCATTGTCATGAAATATATTTGTTATAGTCAGTTGAAAACAAGGTCTCTACCATCCTGATGTGAGTAGCTTCATTGACTTAAGTAGAGCTCCTTGAATAAGGAAAGACTGGAGAATGTGGCCACAGCACTTCTAGCAGCGGGTCATAAATTGCAAAAAGATATACTGTACTGTATCTGTACCATTAGGCATAGTTCAGCTGTTGAAAATTGTACTGTTGGTAACTCTTCTATAATCCAGTAAAAATGTATCTAAGATAATTAAATCATACATTACACTTTAAGATTTACAAGTCTGACATTGCATGCAGTGTCTATCCTCTCTTTTCTAAATTAAAATATGGAGAGATTTCTCTTTATAGGCTAAAAACCTCTTCCTGCTTTTCCCCATAATTTTTAGAGGTCACTTAATGAACAGAGTCATGGTTTGATGGAATTTGCCTCCCCTAGCAAGTAATCTATTAAGTATCTCACATTTTAGGTAGTGCTGCACTATCCATATCACCACTCAGTAAAGCTGCCACTTATCCAGCAGACAAAAACCAGACTGGCAGAGGAGCAGCAGCTTGGCTTAGCTTCACAGACATGCCTGTTGGAGAATTTCACATCACAGCTACATCCTTAGTGAGCTCATTCATACAACAGAAGCTTGCCTAGCATTTAGATATATCTCAGTTTGGCAGCTGATCTTGGGAATACATCTCTTTCTGACATTCTGGGTAGTGGTAATTTGCGCATACTAAATTATATAAAACACCTGTTTGGCCACACATAGCAAGCAGGAGAGCAGGTCAGAGCAAATGAACAAGCACATTGATGGAGTTCATTCAGTCATTTTGAATTGCTTCCCTCCAAGGGATTCAGAATACCGAATCAAGTTTGGATCTTGTGTTTCCACCCTTCTTATGGCTGCCCTTCTATATTTATCTGCTTTTAGATGCATTTACACATGCGCTTTAATGCGCAGTAGCCTATTCTACTGTGTATTAAAGCATCACATCAAAAACAGTGCTAATATGCTAATGCACAATAGAAATAGGCTACTGCACGTCGAGCATCACTAAACAGGCATGTGGTTTTGCTACTGTGTATTAGAGCAGTCTAATGTGCATTTATGCAGTACCTCATATTAGAGGTACCTAAACTTAATGCACAGCACCAAAAGCACATTAATGTTCGTGTAGATGTGCCCTTTGTCTCTTAGCATTTCACTCTTGGTCCCTCTACTTTTCTAAAGATGACACCTTTCTCTGCTGTCTATTCACTTTTTCATATTTGTATTTTTTTTCACACTGCTCTCTATGCATCAAACAGATTTTGCAATGGCTCTCTCATATATTGCATCAAGATCCACTTCTTCCATAAATTCTAGAAGAAAATACAGGTTGAGGAGCATTTGAGTACAGCTGAAGTTTGTTGGTTTTTTTTTTTAATTATGTATAAAAATTATACATGTTTGTGGGTATCCTTCTCCTACTATGATGTATGCTCTCTTAGATTGTAAACTCCTTGTCTTCCATTGCTTTAGTATCATGCTTTTATACAGAAGCTGCAAATGGTCATTTTTTGAATTATGACTTCTTTTGCAGGCAGACTACCAACAGAGAAGCTGCTCAAACACCTGCGCAGCAGTAACTCTGAGCCTTCTGGAAACAGATGTTATGGCTTATCTGTCTGCATTGCATATTGATTAGTCCAGCAGTCAGCAAATCTGCTCCACTGGCAATAAGAACGAATCTTCCAGATTTGGTGCTCTAAATTGGATTATGCTGTATCTTCCCCTCCCCTTCTTTCCAGATCTCCAAATCCACCAAAAAAATTCATAGTTTTCTAGGATAATATCAAAGAATTTCTGTAGGGAAGGGTAAGCTAAAAAATATTCCACTAAATGCATTTGTACTCTGCTATAACAAGGACCTTCCTGAGAATAACAGAGTTTGACTCACCTCCGTAGCTGTCCACCTTGGATTTTCAGCCTTCTGATGCGAAATATTCCCAGAACTCTGGGGTGAGGACATTAACAATGGCTCTGAGGGTAAAGTCTGACCCTTCCCCTCAAATAATCACAGGTAATTTTCCTGAAATTTCTGGTGTTCGAGATCTTCTAGTTAGTGGCTTTTTCTTCAACAAGAAGAAAGAAAAAAAATGGTTGCTTTACCCTTCAACTTTTTCAGGAGATTTAGATCTTTTCCATTTCTTTTAATCCCAAAATGAATTCTGCATTCAACAGTGACCATAAGGTCTTTTTCCAGCTTTTGAATGTAGACCAGTTATGTCTTAATTTTCAGGATGTGAAAAAGGCCTTACAAAGTTTATTTTTCCCCAGGAATAGTAACTTTTAATCAACAAAAATCTTTATTCATCATCGTTACTTTGCTCTTCAAATTTAAAATATGTCGTGCACAGCTTCCTCTTAACTGGAGGACACTTCTAAATTAGTCTTTTCCAACGGATGCCCAACTAGTGGTTTTAGCTCTAATACGGGTACCTGCAAGAGAATCAATCCCTCGTGCTTTGACCACCCATTATAAATGACTTCTCACATCAGTCATTTCAACTTCTGAAAAAAGGCTTCAGCAAACCACCACATAACAGATGTAACCACTTTGGTACTGATTGCTTGCATCAACTCAGTGAAAGCTATGGGAGGTATACAACAAAGGGAAAACACTTACAAAGAGTGCTTTGTTGTAGAAGTCTCCTTTACCTCATGCCAGCTTCTCAGCCACCTCCCTTAAGTCTTCCCTGGTATGTATGCAATGTCAAAGAAGCCTCAAAATTACAGGCAAAGAAGACAGAGGGACTTGCAGTACATAGAAGGATAGACACGTTTTTTGCCTCTAGTAGTAGCATATCATGGGGCAGGCAAGTAGGACATGTGCCATAGGCACTAGCTAAGGGGAAGAGTGCCAGAAGGATGGGGGCAGGGAGGAGGGCATCACTTCAGGGGTACTCCCTGCAACCTACCTCATCACACCCCACCTATTAATTTGCCTTGGTCTGCCGGTACTTCCTGGCTCCAGGAAACTGCCAGCACAGGCAATGGGTATCATGGAGTGGAAGGCATTCTGGGAATCGTAGTTTTGTAGAGCAGCAGTGGAGTTTGCTTCTGCTGCTGGGAGAACTGACCCCCATTTATTGCTGACAAATTCAGTATTTTTTTCTTTGCCCATGTACATGGGCTTCAGCAGCAGGAACAATGGTTAAAGTTCCCCACTGGCAACAGCAGATTCCTAGAGAACTATGATTCCCAGAATATCTTTCACCCCACGACACAGTGCCTGGATCTCTGCTCTATTCTTGTTCCTGTAGTCTATTCCCAAGTGGGGAAGGGTGCTCCTAGGATGCATTATTACCATGCTGTGCCTATAGCCCACAGATTCCTAAGTCAATTCAAAAGTCCTAACTCAGTTAATACATTGCAAAACTAAAAAAAAAAAATATTCATCTGAGACTAGTAACATTGTCTAGATTTTCCTGTCCTGGTGAGTGTAGTTATAAGTGTAGTAAATTCTGGGAGATGGGAAAGAAGAGACAACTATGGCAATGTCAATTAATGAAGAAAACATTTCCTTTCATCTGCCATCTGAATAATTTGTTCAAGGCCCCATTAAAAATTAATAAGTAATTTCTAACTAATGTTAATACCATAATTATGGTCATATAGAGAGAGAGAAAGGACTATTCTGTAGTATCCAGTTTGGAATCTAATTCCGTCCAGTGAAGACCATTCTTTTTAAATAAAGGGATTATTCAGAACATATTATTTCTTTCATAAATTATTTACATCAAGATGAGATGTTCACAGATTGTTGGGTGAAAAGCTTTCACTTGCAACACTGGAAAACTTTTATCTAGGACAGTTCAAAAATAAATTTAAGAACAGAAAACCTTTGCCCTCATTAATCTTAAAACACAAATTGGTTAAAACATTCTGCAAAACTTGTATCTAGGACAGTTCAAAAATAAATTTAAGAACAAAAAACCTTTACCCTCATTAACCATAAAACATAAATTGGTTAAAACATTCTGTGTTTGTCTTAAGACAATACTGAGTAAATTTAGACCTTAAAGACAATTTAAAATGACAGAGGCACTCTTTCCCAGAGACACCCTGATGGCTCATGATATTTAAACTTTGTAATGTATAAGTCCAGGCCAGTTGCTATAGTCTGTTTTGTTTGTGCAATTAGTTATGTTACTTAGCAATACAAAAAGTGCATTTTGTGCCAAACGCTAGGGAATAAAATATGCAGAATTCATGAGATACAAAACATAAACATTCATTTCCTGAGCAGAAGCACTGCAACATTGTATAGCGAAAACTATTACTTTTTTCATTGTGTTTGTAATAAAGAACTCAAGCAACCATACCCTTCAGGGCTGGACTCCTCATCACTTCACTTTAACTCAGCCTCAGCATTCAGCCATGGCATGTGAAGTTAATTACTCTGGGCATTGGGGCTCTGAACAGAAGAATGACCCTATTTGCAGCTCCATGTACTATGTACCACGCTACAGTGAATTCTTTCACTACCTACACATTGCACACTCAGTGACTCTGAATGGAGTAATAATTCTAGCACTCTAGAGGAAAGCACAACTGTCATCTCTTTTTCTCAGGGACACTTGTCTTCCCAGGTAACCATTTAATGGGGGCTGACACCAGTCCACATTCAGTCATTGTCACCCTTGCAGTTCAAATGGCATCAACATCCAAAGGTTATGACTTTCAGGAGGAGTTAGCCATCACTATGGGCCTTTCAGTGGTTTGTGAACATGGCTTCTGCAACTCTGGGACCTTTCAGTACCAGCTTAGGCAGAAATACCAGAATTCAATAAAATAGCAAAAGTGAAATTGTGCAAAGTTTCACATCCATAGAATCTGTGGTAATCTCCAGAATTCCAGGAGACCTGGTGATGTATCTAAATCCCACCAGATTGACTTGCTGAAGAGTTATCTTACTATTTTCATATGAATAACGTATAAAGATATGGACAGTAGAAAATTAATGAAAAATAAATCAAATACAGTCCAAGTGGATAAACTCTGTGTCATGTCCCCAGTTACTATTCCCTTCTCCGCTGTTACCATCCCTTCTCCCCTGTTTGACCAGAGTCAACATTTTCCAAGTTATCCCAGTGCAGTTCTACAATAAATAAGTTAATAAATATTTCCACAAATTTTCCATTAAAGCCACAAATTTTCCACTCAAGATATGAGCTAAAATGGTTGGCACATTTTGACACAATCAACACTGGTGGCAGACACTGTCATGTATAGCTAGTAGAGGGCAAAAAATCAATTATTTAGTAAGTAGCACCAGATTCTCACCTGGTAAAAATCAAGCTAATCCAAGGAACAAAACCTCTTTTGTGGATACAAGACGTGTCTTCAAAAGGCGTTAGAGCTATAACATTTTTAATAGCATGATAAACCTTCCCCTTTCCTTGCCTTTTTTACTTGTTTTAAGACCAGGTCCTTTCTGTCCTTCTGAGCCACTGTTTTCAACAAGATCTGTGGGAGATTGAATAGCTGTTTCCAAAGAGAGAGAATCAGAGTTCAGTTCTTATAATAGTTTCCTAAGTTTTACTCCCCTTTAAAGGAAAATTATTTGAGAGTCTTTTGAATATTATTCTTTCCTTCTTTTCCTTATACTTTCCTTATTTTAACCAGTTTTCTGGTGTGTCTTAATGTCATTGCTCATGTTGATATCAGGCACAAACCTAATGTTACGCTGAAAGGAGAACAGGACCACCATTATGGTATAAAGGAGGGCTATTTTGTCCTGAGTTGTAGGCATACCTCCATATGAAGTAGAATTCATCTTGGACACAGTTATGAACAAAGAAGGTTTGTGAACATAGTACTGCACATATAGACTACTCTTAACCAAACTTCCAATATATTATATGTGGAGATAATGGGATGAATTCTATGCAGACAAATTATATTCAATCCCATTGAATCCAATGGGATTTGATAAAGCCTAGACCAGCATAGATTTGGCCTCTTCTTAATCAGTAGGCGCATCTATGCATTCAATTAAGTTGAAGCAATAAACTCTAGCACTTATTGTCCTGGGGTTTATAGCTTCCCAGCTGCCATGTTTACAACTGCACCTGGGAGAGCAACACATTGAGCAAGGTTAGAGCAGCCCGGACTGGCAGGGGTCCAGGTGGTCAGCCTGACAACCCAGGGCTGCTCCAAACCAGCTCAGCATGCTGTGGAAGGGCTGGCTTGGGCATGAGGATGCTATGGTGCAGGGCTAGACAGCAGACAGCCTCTGTGCTGAAGCACCCTTGTACCCCAGCCAGCCCCATCAGTGTCTACACGTGCATTGCTACAAATTAAAAAACTGCAGCAGGATAGTACTTGTAAATACTTGTGTTTACAAGTCCTATCCTGCTGCAGAGTTAATTAGTTTACTGCCTAATAACACTGTACATGTAGACACTGAGATGTTTACCGTAGAGCTAATTAGTTAACTCCACAGTAAATTTCTCATGTAGATGCACCCAGTGTGAAATAGCTGTCCAGTGGAGGAGCAAAAGATGAGCTATGAAAACCCAGAATGAAAGCAGGCTATTTAACCCTTTTGGAGCATACTTCCTACTCTGTTGCCTACATTGATTAATGCTCCATTGAAATCACCTGGGCATTAAATATACTTGGTACATTCAGCAGTACACCAGGTGCTTTATTGCTGCACTTAAATGGATTGGCATACAGCAGGCAAGTGCACATTAGTTTTTTTCTTCCCTTATCTTGACAGTTTCCCCCCCATTTACTTCATTTAGGGTTTTCTAGGTCCCATAAGACTGACAAGCTTCAAAAAACAGGGAAAAAGAAACATGTTCCACAACAGGTTATTTGAATATCACAGCTCTGAAAAGATGTTGTCAGCTCCCCAAAAACACACTACCACAGAGCAAGTCATGCATTCTTTTTTTTTTTCTTCTCTAGCAAGCCCTGAAACATTTTTTCTTCCCAGCACAAAATCTTAAGCTTCAGAACAGACAGCCATGAAGGTGACACTTCAGGAAAGCTATGGTAGGGGAGATCTGAAATGGCTTTGCTTGAATTGACAGTTTAATGCACAGAACTTTCATTTGACCCAGACTTAAAGGGAAATGCCAAGTTTTCCCAACATGAGCTGCTAAGTCACTAGAATGTTTATATATGGAGGAATTTGCTCATTTTGAGATATGTTCCCAAAAATATTACTAAGTAAACTTGATCAATGAAGTGTTCAGAGAACTAAAATCATGCAGTGAGAGTTTTGGTTACCTCTTTACTTGCTCAGCAATATACGTTTTTAAAATATCTTCTTCAGTAATTCTCATTCCCCATTAATGAACTCCTAAGGCCAGTCAAATGTTGAAATAAAAATTAATCATTGCAAATTTAGCCCTCTTTTGCTTGTTAATTGTTTGAGCCAATCCTGGTTTCTGCAAAAGCACCTGCTGCTTACAGATATTCACTACGTGCTTCAGATAAACAATTTTCAATCTACAATCTCAGTTCCTCCTGACTGTTTGTTATTCCTTAGTTAGGGGGTTTGATTGGTAACATAAGTCACATGATACTGTTCTTTCTTTCAGTTGGATAAGCAAAGCCTTTTGCCATTTGAACAACAAACAGCAAATTATATTTCAAAATTGCATTACAGTAGAAAACAGTGAATTGTCACTACCAATGTTTGGATTCATATTTAATAAATCCATTACAATTTTAGATCTGTGATTATTTTGACAAACACCTAATAGTTGTTTCAATAACCATAAATAAAAACCTTACAAATAAACATGAATTAACATCCAACCATTTATGCCAGCTCAGTGATTTTCACTATTCCCACTTCTATTTATCTTGTAAGAAATCAAGAGTCTTATTCTTAAATCAAATCTGTTCATATAAATAAGGTTTGTTTTCTCTCAACTACAAACCATATCTATTATTATTTATATTAATATTTTGACCATGTCAAAGTGGGGCTAAGTATGAAATTTATATATGTAATTGTCTGGAAAATGTGGAACATTCCAACATGTCAGAGCAGCCTCTGGACTCGTGTATAGGTGCCCTAGGTTTGTAACAAGTTTCCTGAATCTTGAAATCTGGAAAGTTTTGAGACAATACACAAGGCCAATACAAAATTAGTTTACATGTCTCCTAGATTATATGAGAAACCCAAATACCATCTAGCAATAATCTTATAAATCTGTCTTTAACTCTACATGGAAGGCAAATATATGGGTTTAAGAAGTATATAACTAGAAAATTCTTAGAAAACAAATCTTCTTGGAATATCCTTTAGTACTGTACAATAAGGCATTTTCATTTGAACTGTCCAGAAAACAATGGGTGCCTATAAATGTGTGGGGATGCTGCTCCAACACGCTGTAATTGCACACTCCAGCAGCTTCCGCATCTCATTTATTCAGTGTCCCGACACTTTAAAATGGTGGCAGGGGCACTTTAACTAAAGCTCACTGAATGAGCTTTAGTTAAAGCACCCCCTGCCACCATTTTGAAGTGAGGGATATTGAATACAAAAAAATGATGTGCATGCTTTAATCACAGCAATCTTGGAGCCACTATCATTAAAGTGTCCCTCTACCCCAACTCCAGAGCAGGTGTAAAGATCATAGAATCATAGAAAATTAGGGTTGGAAGGGACCAGAGGAGGTCATCTATTCCACCCCCACTGCTCACCCAACTAGATCATCCCAGCCAAAGCTTTGTCTAGCCAGGTTTTGAAAACCTCCAAGGACGTTGATTCCACCACCTCTCTGGGTAACCTGTACCAGTGTTTTACTATCCTCCTAGTGAGAAAATTCCTCCTAGAATCTAACCTAAACTGCCCTTGCTGCAACTGAAGACCATTGCTCCTTGTTCTGTCATCTGCCACCACTGAGAACAGTTTAACTCCATCCTCTTTAGAACCCCGCTTCAGGTAGTTGAAGGCTGCTATTAAATCCCTTTGCAGTCTTCTCTTCTCCAGCCTAAATAAGCTCAGTTCCCTCAGCCTCATGGGCCCCAGCCCCCAAACCATTTTTGTTGCCCTCTGCTGGACTCGCTTCAATTTCTCCACATCCTTTCTGTAGTGGGGGCCCAAAACTGAACACAGTACTCCAGATGTGACCTCTCCAGTGCTGAATAGAGGGGAATGATCACTTCCCTTGACCAGCTGGCAACACATCTACCAATGCAGCCCAGTATGCCATTAGCCTTCTTGGCAACAAGAGTACACTGTTGGCTTATATTCAGTTTATTGTCCACTGTAACCCCCAGGTCCTTTTCTGCGGAGCTGCTGCCCAGCCAGTCAGCCCTCAACCTGTACTGGTGCATGGGACTGTTCCATCCTAAATGCAGAACTTTGCACTTGTCCTTGTTGAACCTCATGATATTCCTTTTAGCCCAATCCTCCAATTTGCCTAGGTCACTCTGAATCCTAGCCCTACCCTCCAGCATATTTACTACTCTCCCCAGCTTGGTTTAATCTGCAAATTTACTGAGGCTGCACTCTATGGCATCTTCCAGGTCACTGATGAAATCATTGAACAAAACCAGTCCCAAGACCAAACCTGGGGAAAAATTTATTCATGCCCACCAGGGACCCCCTTCCCAGCAGTCTCTGGGCCCACACCTACACTTTAACTCACAACTTTCCTGCCAGCAGCTTAGCACACAAATCTCCAAGCCGCACAAAAAGACCAAAAATTCTAGATTTTCAAAGCATGTTAAGGTTTGTGTATTTATTGCAGAATGTCATCTGGATCTTTTGTTTTTTTCACAAAAACAAAACAAACCAAACAATCCCCAAGCACACACTCATACACATTCATCTCCAGAATCACCCACAGTGTGGTAGTTAGGTTTCTCAGGTTGGACTGTGAGAATCCCCTTAGGCAGAACAAGGACTTAGACCAGTGATTTCCATCTTCAAGTGAATGGCCTAACTGTATGCTTAGGGTTTGAACAGGTGTTATATCTACATCAGTCTAACCAGGTTTAGAGTTAGGTCAGTCTAAATGCTGACTTCTCCAAGCATTCAGAGGGGTTAATGCGGCCAAAATAACCAGCATTCCTGATCTAAATTATTACACCTCAGATGGTGCACTAACTTAGATTAAGAAAGGGTTAACCTGATCTAGAAAGGAGTTAACCAAATCTTGTGAATGCCTGCACTCACAGCACAGCTCTGGGACTGAGAAAGCCTGGCTAGCTGCTCACCTCAGCCATGGGATTGTGCTGTTCCTACCCTCCTGACCCTGACCAGGTTATATTTAGGCCCCAGCACTTCCACGAACTGGGCACCCCCCAAAACCCATCAACTCCCCCCACCTCTGATTTGCTAGCCCTCCTCCAGTCCTGCCAGTCCCTTTCCCCCAGCCTGAATTACTTACCTCAGGCTTCCTGTGCTGCTTCTAGTAGCAGTGAATGGCTGTACATGCTGTTCCCAGTCCCACCAGGTGCAGCTAAT